AGCTTAAGGCAGAGGCCATGTTTAAGAGAATGCAAAGAACCCAGAGACAGAGGGACAGCAGAAGGAAACTGGGGCTAGGGGAAGGCTTGCTTTTCACTCTGAACCATTTGGGGACTATTTTCTTTTTTGTACTGATGGCATGTTTCACTTATTTTTAAGAAGTGCATTTGATAAATGCTATCCTGGCAGCCCTCCTCCGTGAGGGGCAAGTTTTTAAAGTCAGAAAGAAGTGCAACTAGCTGTATTCCTGCCACCAGACCCTGCATTAATGTTCTAGTGCACTTCCTTCTGGTCAAGTTTCTGGGTGTTGTGTAAGCAAGAGGTTTTCAGTTTTCTAATTCATTATATTGTCTCTCTCTCTGCCATTTTTTGAAGAGCATAAATCATTTGTTTATTTAACATTTTATATTTACATGTGGATTTTTCACTGGAAGTTATTTTGCAAACTTTCCCCTAAATTTAAATTATTTTTGGAAACCTTTTTTTTTTTTGGTGGGACTGGGGTTTTAACTTAGGGCTTCGTGCTTGTAAAGCAGGCACTCTACATCTCGAGTCACGCCTCCAGTCCATTTTGCTCTGGTTATTTTGGAGATGGGGGTCTCAAGAACTATTTGCTTAGGCTGGCCTCACACTGTGATCCTCCTGATCTCAGCTTCTCAAGTAGCTAGGATTACAGGTGTGGGCCAGCACCGCCCTGTTGGAAACACTGTAAATGGCTACATGGTACTTCACCATATCTAGTCATACTCCCATTACTGGACATTTGTGGTTTGTAAGAAACTTTTTGCAACCAAAGTGAAGAAGAATAGCTACTGTGTGCTTTGCTTTGAGTAAAAAGGAAGGGAAATAAGAAAATACGCAGGGATCTGCCTATGTGTACGAAAATAGGAAAAATAAACTATAGACTTAAGAGACGGAATGTTGGGGTGAGTGAGATGGCGGGGAAGGAAGTGTAATAAGAGTAGAAGGGTAGGGAGAAGCAAGAGTCCCTGTTCTCTGTGACCCTGACCATGCTAATGGATCACCTGATTGAAAGGAATTAAACAGATAAAATCAGTAAGCAGGGTGGGAAGGAATCCTAAAATATGACATAGGCAGAAACAAACAGACTATACTTCAAATGAATGGCATAACCACATCAAAGAAGGGAAGAAAAGAACTGACCCAGACAACTTCTGAACACAGTATTTTTAACTAAAGGCTAAAGGCAGCACTGCAAACCAATAATGAGGTCTAATTAGTAGGTTTGTTTTTCACAGTGGTGAAAAGCCTGGATGAGCAATTCCAAAACTACTTTCTACATACTCTAGGATTGAGCAAATAAATGAATATATTGTGGAATTGGCATTTTTGCTGTTAGAAAGGAGTTACAAGTATGGAAAAGAGGGAGGGCTGGAAGCTCAGGTGGTAGAGCACCTGCCTAGCAAGCTCAAAATCCCGGGTTCAAATCCCAGCACTGCCAAAAAAATTTTTTTAAATGGTAAAAAAGAGAAGAAAAGAGGGAACCCTGGGTGAATCTAATAGCCATGAGTTACAATTGGAGGGATCAGTCTGAACTCGTAGCTTGTAATATATATTGATACAAATGCTGGGTATGTACAAATATACATACTTCCCAGCTGAGATAAACTCAGTAGCAATGAAAGCACATAGTGCTCAGCTCCTGTGTGTGCGTGTGTGTGCATGCATGCGCGTGTGTGTGCATGTGTGTGTGTGTTGCTGAGGACTGAACACGGGACTCTATACATGCTAGGCGAGCACTAGCTCTACCATGGAGCCCCCCCCCGGCCCCAGACCTTGGATTCCAAATACTGTTCTCTGTGATTCCAGGTCAAGGGAAGAGAAATTAAAAGATGAACATGAAACATCTTCTTTTGTCAGAAATTAAAGGGAGTGCTCGAATCATGACAGACACATGTCAGAAGGACCAGCGACTAATGTAGAGGGGTGCTGCTAGCCAAATGTGGATTGATCTGAGATGCAAAACAGATGACTGCAACAGTTCATAACCCACTGAATAAAATAAGTGTGTCCATATTAATGGAAACCAAAAAAAAAAACAAAAACAAAAAAAACCAAACAGATTGATGTAAACAAATACAAACACGTAAAGGGAAGAGAAGGAAAATCTTCCTTAGAGCTGAATGCCCACACCACAAGCAGGACACGGGTAGACTGAGAAAATCTCACTTGGAAACCCTCAAAGTCATAGCTCAGGAATCTCTGAAACAACAGTAATCATGGAAGCTGGAACTAGTGTGTGCGAGTTTGAAAAGAAACTGGGTATCCACAGAGCCTCAAAGTATTTCCCAGAAGATTCTTGCTAACAGCAAAAGGAAAACTAGTGGTAAAACTGGCAGACACCATCTTAAGCAAGGGTTCAAAGTTAGTATTACAAATCCACACTGCGAATCTGAGGACACAGCACCTGTGTGACAATCCTGCCAGAAATGTATGTCCTGTGTTGACTCCTGATAAAATATCATGAGAAACTCAACTTTAGGGACACCTTACAAAGTAATGGGCTAGTTCTCGTCAAACCCATCAGGATCAGGAAAGGCAAAGAAAGGAGAGGATTGTTGTAGGTTTAAAGACATGACAGAAAAATGAGACAGGACCCTGGTAGATCCTGGACCATAAACACCAAAATGAAATACTTGTTTTTCTCTTTTGCTTTCATGGACACTATTGGGAGAATTGACTAAATCAGAATAAAGTCTGCAGATTATAGTACTGTCAGAATGATCACTTCTTCTTAATTTGGATGAATGTACTGCGGTTATATAGGGGAGTGTCTGTTTTTAGGAATTATAAACTGAAGGAAGTAATCAGGGAAAAGAAGTATCAGGCTTATGAATTGCTGCAAAAATTATGTGTGTCAGGGAGGGTAAATAGAAGGAAAAATTATGGTAAAAGTTAACATTTGAGAAATCTTGGTGAAGGGTATATGAAAAGTCTTTGTATTTGCAACCTTACTTGTTTTTTGGTAGTACTGGGGTTTGAACTTAGAGTCTACACCTTGAGCCACTCCACCAGCCTTTTTTGTGATGGGTGTTTTTCAAGATAGGGTCTTACAAACTGTATTTGCCTGGGCTGGCTTTGAACCGTAAACCTCCTGATCTCTGCCTCCTGAGTAGCTAGGATTACAGGTATGAGCAACCAGCATCTGGCTACATTGGGTATTTTTGAGATAGGATCTTGTGAGCTATTTGCCCAGGCTAGCTTTGAACAGCAATCCTTCTGATCTCTGCCTCCTGGGTAGCTAGGATTATAGATGTGAGCCACTGGTGCCCAGTGGCGCCCAGCTACAACCTTACCTTTTTTTTTTTTTTTTGGGTCAGTCTGACATTGCTTTAAACACATACACCCCTTTGACACAAGAACTAATACTCTGAACATCCTTAATCATGAATCCATGAATCAGTTTTTTTGGCGGGACTGGGGTTTGAACTCAGGGCTTCTTCACTTGCAAAGCAGACACTCTACTGCTTGAGCCACAACTCCAGCCCATTTTGCTTTGGTTATTTTTGAGATGGGGGGGGGTGAACTTTTTGCTCAGGCTGGCCTTGAACTGCGATCCTCTCAATCTCAGCTTCCTAGAAGCTAAGATTACAGGTGTGAGCCACTGTCATCTGGCTCTTTTGTTTCCTTAGGATTCTTACTAAGTCAAAGGTATACAACTTTTAAAAGAATGGTGAATATATATCTAATAGATTGATAGGAACTACATTGATATACAAAAAACAGAAGTTCTTGAAACTCCTGACTGTGGGGGAGAAAGGAAGCACATGGAGGATTGAAGAGAGCAGATACGGGGTAGAAGTGGGGTATGGAAATGGGTGGGACGAAAAGGACCTGGCTCAGTCTGAGCAGGAACCAAAGCAGAGGAGAGGAAGGATCAGCTGGACTGCAGGGCTGACACTGGTGACTATTGCAGACCCTTTCCAGAAGCAATCTGCTGTGTTTTTACCAATTGCCCACAGCAATTTCTCTGCACAATGGCGCGGTAAGAGCGGGCTCAGGTACTTGATCAAATGACAGTGCTGTGGAGCTCTCCCTCTCCACGCGTGTCTCCCTTTATTGTGGGCCAGTCACCTGCTGTTGAGTCTCACTAAGTCCCTGAGCCCTTCCTGTTGGCACACAAGAAATCACTACATAGTCCACAGACACATGACCTGGTGGCTTACATGGGATGTAAGTAAATGCTTGCATATGGTTTGGATATGACATGACCCCTCCCAAAAGACTCCTGTTAGACCTGGTTGCCAGCTGGCAGGTGTTTGGATGCTGAGGGCTCTGACCTAACAATGGATTAATCCCTTGATGATTCATGATAAGATGGCATTATTGGGAGGTGAGGCCCAGCTGGAGGAAGGAGGACACCGGGGCACAGCCTGGAAAGATACCTTGTCCCTTACTCATTTCTCTCTCTGTTTCCTGGTTACCATGAAACAAGCAGCCTCTGTCATGTGTCCTGCTGCCATGATAGTCTGCTTTGCAATGGATCCAGCTGATCTTGGACTGAAACATCTGAATGCATGAGCCAAAATAAATCCTTCCTCCTTTTAAACTGTTTCTCTCAGGCTTTGTCACAGCAACAACAAACTAACACAATTATCTAATCTTTCATCTGATGCCCATAATATATTTCAAGTATGTACATCTGTAAACATTGGCTCCTATATCCTGGACTATCTAAACGCCTTGTGAAATGATCTCACCTAATCCTCTCAGTAACTCCATGTGGTAACATTATCATCCCCATCTCACTGATGAAAATTAAGTCTAGAGAGGTAAGTTAATTGCTCCATGGCATACAGCCTATATTTGAACCCAAGAGTTTGGCTCCAAAGTCTCCAGTCTAGACTAAGAAATTTTCATTAAGAAGAAAAAATGATAATCAATCATAAACTGAAATTTTTCAGTTAACAAATTGGGAGTTGACAATGAAAACTGTATTCAGATAAATATTTATGTAATCTGTCAGAAAGGGGCATTACCTGACAGAAGAACTGTTGCTGGCTCCCTGCTCCAGGTGTGTTACTGAAGGTGCTGGTAGGTTTGGAAGAAGAGACTGGAAGACGATGGGACACACTGACTGGTACCGGAGTCCTATTTGGCTGTGTCAGCTGATCTCCTGAAAAGTTTGATCCTGATGCCCCAGACTGAACCGCAGCCCCAAGACTAGGATGCGCAGTGCTGGCTGAGCTGACAGCAGGAAACCGTGCAGGTCCTGACATGCCTGTCACTGAGGGCATAGCGGTGAAGCCAGGTCTTCCTTGGGAGACACCGCTCTGCCCAGGTGATAGGTGCAAAACGGTTGGTGATGCCTGTTGCATGGGCATCTGTCCACCAACAATCTGAGGAGATGCATGATTAACTATCACTGGACTTCCCGAGGTGGCAAAAGTCTGCCCAGATACTAACTGGACAGAGGTGTTCTGGCTGCTCAGCATCTGTCCAGAATATGGTTGGTTGGTCCTGAGCATGTTGGAAGAAGTCCTGTTCAACATGACATGCTCTGAGGCCACTTGGCCAGAAATGAGCTGAGAGGGTTGAGTCTGAAGAAGTTGCCCATTTATGGTCTGGACGTGGTGTACTGAGTTGGAGCTGACTGAAAGGCTTGTAGGTATGAGGAACTGACTTTGAGGGGCATGAGGCTGACCCATGGGGGAATGAATGACAATACTGCCCCCCGTGCTGCTCACTGCCTGTGAGGTGACTGGCTTTCTTGCGTTCTGTTGGTTTACAATGTTCACTGACATGTGTGGACCAACCACGGAGCCCTGGGGAGAGCTTGCAGAGGCAAAAGAGATCCCTTGTTGGACGTGGTGCTGCTGAATTCCCAAATTGTTCACATTGTATGTATTCTGCTGCCCCATCTGGATAGGCTTTGGCTGTATATTAATTGGGACTTTATTTGAATTTGGTGCAAGACCCCTCTGTATGATGATGTTATGCACAGGTAAGGATGTTTGGAAATTTGTGCTGTTGAATGGAACGGTAACAGGCTGTGCTACTGGACTGGAGCTGGAGTTGCCAAATAAGGAGTTGCCATTGGGAGTCTGTCTATGAACCAGAAGCCCTCCACTCACATTTGACGGGGCCTGCTGCCCGTTGCCCTTTAATATGATTTGAGATCCATCTAGGTTATTAATAGTCATCATGGAAGGCTGATTACCAAATGACCCAATTAACTGTATTTGACCAGAACCACTAATCTGACTGCTGTTAGACAAATGCTGGCTGGGAACACTGATCCCCACGTGCTGCATGAAGCCATGTTGCACACCCACTGTATTGCTTGCGAACGATGCTCCAACAGGCACGTGAGTCACCCCTATAGGCTGCAGCGTCTGACCTGAGTAATTAGAAACGTTAGAAGCCTGAGTAAAGGATGCTGATGAAGAAGGATGAAGCTGAGCTTGTGCAAACTGTTGGCTTGAACCTATACTGGCATCCAAATACGCCTCTTCTGCCAATGTCTGTTCAGTGATATTTGCCTCCTGCAAGGATTTCTGAAGAATGTCGAAAGGTTGGTCCTCACTGAGATCAGGAAGAGGAGAAGACTCAAGTTCATCTTCAAGAAACTGAAGGCTACTTGAAAGTGGTACTCCATCACTGGGCCCTTCTCCAAGCTGGTTGCTTACACCTTTGAGGGACGACTTAGGATCAGCACTCTACAAAAATAAACAGTATGTTACATGGCATGCCAAACCTTTGAAAGGGATGTATAAAAATTAATGTCACTTTTGAGTGTTAGTGGAACATAGCAATATGCTTTTAGGATACAACTTGCCAAATTACTCCCCTCATTCTGCTATTTTATTTCTTTAGTAATGATGTACACACTTATATTTGTAAGTGTATGCATTCATTATTCTCGTAGATTATTTTATAGAGGATAAAAAACATGAAATACTGACTACCTGGATCCAGCTTCATGTTTTTGAGATACTAGCACAGATTCTTATTTTTATATTTTTAGTGGTAGGGATTGAACCGAGGTTCTTAGGCAAGTGCTACACTACTGAGCTACATTCCCAGCAAAATTTATTTATTTTTTATGTTTTAGTGGTACTGGAGTTTGCACTCATGGTCTCATGGTTGCTAGGCAGGCACTCTACCACTTGAGCCACTCCATCAGCCCTTTTCTGTGTTGGGTTGTTTCTGAGAAATAGTCAACTTATTAACATGTTTTTTAAATCACTTAAATATTTAGCAACATATCTTTATCTTAAAAAATCTTTACAAAAAAACCTAGTTAAGTGTCCTATTCAAAAGTCAACAGCCACTAGTGTTAGTTTTGTCCTCAAGGCACTCCAGCAAAAGACAATGCAGACATAGGAGGAGAAATGAACACAGTAGTAACAAATAAGATATACTCCACTGACCAACAATGTAAAAAATTGTAAAATAGAATGATATGAAAGCAAATCATCTAAAATAAGTAGAAGACAATAAGAATGTATTTAATACTACTGAATTGTACACTTGAAAATAATTAAGATGGGCAATTCTTTTTTCTTTTGGTGGTTCTGGGGATAGAATCCAGGACCTCATACAATGCTAGGCAAGTTCTCTACTACTAAGCTATATCCACCGGCATTTGAACTTAGGGCTGTGTGCTTGCAAAGCAAGCACTCTAGCACTAGAGCCACACCTCCAGTCCATTTTGCTCTGGTTATTTTGGAGATGCAGTCTTGCGGACTATTTGTCTGGGTTCTCCTTGAACCTTGATCCTCCTGATCTCAGCCTTCCAAGTAGCTAGGATTATAGGCATGAGCCACCAACACTTGGCATCAAAAGGGAAAATCCTATTGTGTGTGTTTAACTACAATTAAAAACAAAAAGAACTGGGTGTGGCGATTCACACCTCTAATACCAAGACTTAGAAGGGTGAGGCGGGATGGTTGAGAGTTCCAGGCCAGTTTGGGCTACATAAAGAGACACAGTCTTAAATAAACAAACAAAAGAGGAGAGAGAAAGAGAGAGAGAGAGAGAGAGAGAGAGAGAGAGAGAGAGAGAGAAGATTCATTTGAAAGTAGGGAAAGCAAATAGAAGCAAGAAGGTCTTTTGTTGTTGTTGTCTTTTGCAGAGAACTATCAAGGCAACCGTGGATATCTCCTGAGTGGTGATACACAGTTTAATACATTTTCAGTGTGCAAATTAACAAATCATAGGTTTGTTTTGAGACAGGGTCTTACTATAAAGCCCAGGCTGGTCTGTAACTTGCTATGTAATCCAGGCTAGACTTGAACTTGAAATCCTCCTGCCTCAGCTTGAGTGATGGGATTACAGGTGTGAACCACCATGCCCAGCTAACAATCACATTTTTAAGAGCATTTTTGATAGTTGTACTATGCCTGACATGCTGCAATAAAAGTCTGCAATAAATACATACTGAATGAAGCAGTGTGAAAAGTTAGAATTAATACTGACCTGGAAGTAGGAGAGTGGTTTAAAAAAATTATTTGTGTTGAGGTTAAATGCAAGTGTAAAGCTCTGAGTTCAAACCCCAGTACCGCCAAAAAAAAAAAAAAAAAAAAGGATGAATGTCAGAAATGCTACTGGGGCTGGGGTCAGTGGTAAAGTGGATTTGATAATTGGCACCACCATAAAAGGAAGGGAGGGAGGGAGGGAGGAAGGAAGGAAGGAATGAAATGCTACTGATCCACAACCATTACAGAAAATCAGGGCTGTGAATTTGAAGCCACTCTAGCAGGTAGAGGCATCTTATATGACATGGTCTGACAATACATATACTCAAATACTTGGAAAACTTCAGAGTTTCTGAATACCATTCCATTCCACAGTAAAGGCCCTCAGGATAAGGACAAGTTAACAATTGCTGACTGTCCTGAGTGAGTTCCATGACTAGAAAATTGATCTTAACCACCTAGGAGGTGGTTCCATTGCTATCCTGGTTTCATAGTGAGGAAATGGAGTATCACAGAAATTGACTGATGCAGCTAAGATTACACACCTAGTAAGAGGCAGTGAGGACTCACCTGTGGGCAGCCTAACTTTGGCCTACCATCTATAGTAGAATGATGAAACTGAGAAGATTAGGTACCATAAGGTTTAAACACAAGATTAAACAAGGTTTAATCTTGATACAGTCCCAAGCAGGACTCCCCATTTATCTAACTGGTCTCCATGCTCCTAGAGCTTAACAATATGGGTCCAGAGGCTGGCGTCAGAATCTTAGGGCTGCAACTCAAGGATGTGTAATATTGGGCCAACCTCTCTATGCTTTATTTTCCTCACCTATAACATATGAATAACAGTAGAACCGCTTCCTGGAAGTACTGGGAGGACTGCATGAGATAATACATGCTACGCCTTTAGTACCAAACACATAATGCTCAACAAGTTCAGTTAGCATTTTTTTCTTACTTAAAACGAAAATGACTTGTAAGTAACTATAATTAAGAATGACTTCTTTAAAGCTTATGTAACAAGGCTCAAAACATATGACTGTCTCAAGTTATAACACTTGAGTCATTTTAGAAAGCTGAAAGCTTAGAAAATTGGCTAAGTAAATCTCATTTGGCCTGTATGGTATGATTAAAAGTAGAAAACAACATGACCAGTAGAGTTTTCTCCCCGCTAAGTTACAAGAGATAAGGATTCTCTGAGGACACAAAGGCAGTTAAAGCCTCACTTCCTCAGGCATCCTTGAGACGGTATCCAGTACTCACAGTAGAGTTGGCGAAAATGGAATTTGAGTTGGCTGCAGAATATGCTGCATTAGTCAAGTCATCGCTGCTCTGCAAAGGGCAAGTTCAACAAAGTGGTTACTTGAGCTGTTAAACAAACAAAAGTTGTATCGCGCGGTGATGTTCTGAGTAGCACTTACAGGTTTGTTACTGGGTCCATGGAGAAAGTAGTTCAATGCTTGTGGGTCTCTAGAAAAAAAAAAAAGAGAGAGAGAAGGGAAACAACAAATAAATACCTGTATTTTTTTTACTAGGGTGAAAAAGAAAATGATGTATTAGCCCGAGTAAAGCCTTCTCCCTATTTAAAACTGACTTTCTGAGTAATTTTTTCTTTTTATTTTGTTTCTTATGTTGTTCCATTTCTTACTATCACTTATTTCTGCCTCGTGGAATTATCAACATTCTATTATTATTATTTGCAGTGCTGGGAATTGAATCCATGGCCTATGCATGCTAAGCACACACTCTACCACAGAGCTACACACCTAGCTTTGACTCCTGGGATGTGACAGAAAAAATGTGTAAGGGTAATTAAATTGACTCCTGTGATAATCTCTATCTCTTTGCCTCCCTGCTATAACTGATTACTATCTAATTTCTATTTTAAAAACTCAGCAGCTTTCAATATACCGATGGACTGAGTTTGTCCTGCAAACCTCTGGCCCACCCTAGGTTGGGAATGGGCACCTTACCCGATAAGATCAAGGAGACACGAGTCATCATCATCATCCATGACAACTGGAAAGAAAAGGAAGAGGGAAGCAGGTTGAGCAAACAGACCACAGCCAGTGCTGTCACTGCAACATGAAGCACACCTCACACTGTATGAGAGCTAGCTGTGTAGGTCATGGGGGTTTTCTCTAATTGCTTATTATTAATGTGATCCAAAAAAATTTTGTGCCTGTAGACTCAGTTACTCAGGAGGCTGAGGTGGGAGGACTGCTTAAGCCCAGGAGTTCAAGACCAGCCTGAGCAACACAGCAAGACCCCCATCTCAAAAATAAATAAATAAGCGAATAATGGTAGAAATACAATAAAATAACATTTTGTGGTCATTTGAGAAAGTATTCCACTTAAATTGTTTTTATTATAAACAAGTCCTCAACTTACAGGAAAGAGTCTAGAAAAATCAAAGAGTTGGCAGCAACTTCTTTGACACGTAGAGCCCCCACAGGAACTAAAAACAACAGACAGCTTCCTCAAATGTAGACCAAACAAGGGGAGAAGCAGCATTTTTGTAGAAACAATCTCATAGGTTCAGAAGTCTTTGTTGTGACAGATGCTTCAACACATGGAGAGCAGTCTGGACTTTGTGCCCTAGTTTGGCTGTCTTTAGGAAGACAAAGAAGCGGTCTCCTGAATTTGGGGACAGAAGAGACTCCTTCCCCCAGCAGGCCAGTCAGGCTCTGGCCAACAGGGCCCAGGCTGTGCAGTGGCACTGCCACTATTCAAACCAGCCCTAGAATGTTTAAAATAGAAAGTTTCAGGCATAAGTCCACCCGCCCAGGCCATGAGCTTCCCCCTCCTGGCAGGCAGCCTGAAGTCAGGCCAGCACAGTGACTGTGCTTCAGCTGAGCCCGTCACAAGTACACGAATTCCAAGTGTGGTTCTCCCCCGAGATCCAGGCAACTTACACTCGTGATCCGACACCTGGCAACACTGCCTCGCACCCTTTCAAGCCATGCGTGGAATGGATTTACATCACAGAACGCCAGGGCCAAGGGTTCTGGAGCAGTTGGAAAGGGCAGTTGTGGACGGCAGTTGGATGGGAATGAAACACTGAAGAGATGCCCAGAAGAGGGCCACGCCCGGAGAAGGCAGGAGGAAGAGTCTCCACTGCATGTGTTTTCTCTTTTGAAACCGCCATCACCTCTCCAGGTCCCCCAGATTTGTCATTCTAGCAGTGCCCAGGCCAAACAAGCATAGAACCCACTCCTGCCACATGGAAGGGCACTTGGTTTGGTTTCCTAGGACAAGCAGGGTGAGTACTCCTGATGTGGGGCTTTCCTGCTGGTGGATGGGTTTGTTCAATTGCTGAGTGACCTGGGTGATTCTAATCCACTTGCGGGTGAGAAAGGAGGAAGGAAGAGTGGGACTTTACCCAGAGGTGTCACTGATGGCTGAAACCAGAAAGGGCAGCCAGCCACACACCTGAGTTACTTGAGGGCAGTGGCGCTAGTGAACCAGCACACAGAGGTCAGGGCAAAGGCGGCTGGGAGGGGAGCGGGAAAACGATCACCAGTGGATCTATGAACAGCTGAGTGAGGGTCTTCCACTTCATTCTCATGCAGTTAACATGGCCCAACCACATTAGCCATCGCTCAGACTGTCACACCATGGGCTTGTCTCCCCGTGTTACAATCTCACCTGGGATAAATTAGGCAATTATGATGTATAATTCGGCCTATAAACTAGATACTGTTTATTTACTTCAATGTGACTATTCAAGTGGAGTTTCACTCTATCCTTTTTAAACATTTATTTATCTACTTAATTTTTTAGCAGTACTGGGGTTTGAACTCAAGGCTTTGTGCTTGCTAGGCAGGTGCTCTACAATTTCCAGTTTGTGTTGTTCTCGTTACTTGGGAGAAAGGGTCTTGCTCTCTCCAGGCTGGACTGGACTATAATCTTTCTATTTTACACTTCCTACCATTGCTGGGATGACAGGCACACAACACCACCACCACATCTAGCTTTTTTCTATTGAGATACGGTCTTGTACTCTTTTGCCTGGACTGGCCTGGAACCTTGATCCTCCTGATCTCAGACTCCCAAGTAGCTAGGATTAAAGGCATGAGCTACCAGCATCAGGCTGTAAGTTTATTTTTTGAAGTGTCTGGGATGAGAATATAGTTCAGTGGTGCAAAACATGTTAGCATATGTGATGCCCTGGGTTTGATTCTCAGTACAAGAAAGAAAGAAAGAAAGAAAGAAAGAGAGCTGGGCGACAGTGGCTCACACCTGTAATCCTAGCTACTCAGGAGGCAGAGACCAGAAGGATCACGGTTTGAAGCCAGCCCCGGGCAATTAATTCCGAGAGACCCTATCTCAAAACTAGCTAACATAATAAAGGGCTGGTGGAGAGGCTCAAGGTATAGGCCCTGAGTGCAAGCCCCAGTACGGCAAAAAAAAAAAAAAGAAAAGAAACAGAAAGAAAGAGAAAGTTACAGTCTCTAATACAAAGTAATTAATGTGAGAAAGAGCCTACCAAAGAAAAGCAGGCTCATAACTCTGAAAGTTCTCTCCCCTCTAACTCTTGTACTTGATGGATGTGCTAAGAGCTGACACACAAAGTCTGATGAAGGAGCTCTGTGCTAGTCATGGCACTGAGGTGTCACTGCCACCAGGGCTTCCAAGCCAGAGCACATTTCCTACCCACAGTTTAAGCGACAAGCTACTCCTTAAATAATCCAAATAAAAGAACAATTAATTTTTTTTTTTTTACAGTGCTGGGGACTTCCCACACTAGGCAAATACTCTACCACTGAGCTATACCCCTGACCCAACAAACTTATAATTTAGATGAAATTGAAAGCCATTGTATATCCTTCTCCAAACCAAAGAGGCTGGTCAAACACTGATTTGAAAGAGTCTTCTTGGGGCCTTCTAGACTATCCGGGCAGCAGAAGCCCTGGCAGGTGGGCCTCCCCCGCTGGTCCCACAGGTAGAATTCTACAAGCCTTCACAAGTTGGGGGGGGACCCTGAAAATTCTTTTTAAAGAGCCATACTCTTTCCTGGCTTTAAACAGTTCCAAATTCCCACATCCCTGGCTTTAAATAGTGTCAAAATACAGTATAATCTTCTGCCAGGATGATACATGGTTCACCAAAGTAAATTTACCTAAGTCAAATTATAAAAACTGACCGATTCTAAAGTGAAAGACAACCCAAGGATCAGAAACCAATGACTCAAAAGCAAGGTGTCTCCATTTACTTATGGACTCTTTTTTTTCCTCCAGTACTGGGGTTTGAACTCAGGGCCTTGAGTGCTAGGCAGGTATTCTGCCACTTTAGAGCCACAACTCTAGCCCTTACTTCTGACTGTTAGTGATGGTCTTTTCCCAGTCAAGTCACAGCCCTGGGATCACAGGATGGGTCAGTGGCACCAGGTGGATTTTGTAAGGCTGTGTGAAAGACTGGCTCTCCTCTAAGTGGAAATTCCCAGTTGGAAAGTATTTCTTGGCCCAAGACAGGTGACATGGTCCCTCAGTAACAACAGCTCTACCCAACAGGATCTGACATGGAGGGAAGAGGTTAGCTCTTACAGGATTCTGACAGGCACCCCACCAGTTCAGAAACTGCTGTCCTGGATACTTGGCTACCACTCTTAAAAAATTAAAGCTAATACTTAAAGTTGCTCTTAACAGAGTCAACAAAAACCTTGAATGCCTTTTAATCAAGAGGACACGATATACAAGTGACACATTAGAACACTGGGGGCAGGATCCTAGCCATGTGGGAAAAAGAAGGTGGACCCACACCTCACATCTTATACCAAAAGAAATTCCAGCTGGATCTAAGAGTGAAGAGCTAAATGAGTAGCAGAATAACATAAGGGAGAATTTTTTTTTTAAAACTCAGAATGAGGAAAGTCTAAGGATGTCACAGGACACAGAATTCATAAGAGATCGACAAATTCCATGTTATAAAAGTTTTAGGTTCTGCATGAGAAAAAAAAAAGACATCATAAGCAAAGTTAAAGCTGGGTGCAGTGACTCGTGCCTGTAATCCTAGCTACTCAGGAGGTGGAGACTGGGAGGAGTGAGGTTTTTGAGACCCTATCTTGACCAATAAAAAGCTGGGCACAGTAGCACGAACCTATCATCTCAGCTACTTGGGAAGTATAAATAGGAGGGTCATGATCCTGGCTGGCCTAGACATAAAAGTGAGCCCCTACTCAAAAAAATCTATAAAGCAAGACAGGCTGGGGGTGGGGCTCAAGTGGCAGAGCACCTGCCTGGCAAGTGCAAAGCTCTTGGTTCAAACCCAGTACCACAGAAAGAAACTAATTAAAAAATTAAAGAATGAAATAAATAAGGAAACAAATAAAAGATACTTTGTAGAAGGTTTCTCTAAACACTTAGAGTTCATATAAGTAAAAGTCAGGATACTTGCAGAAAATCAAAGGTATGAACAATGAATTCATAAAAAAAAGGAACTTGGGCTGCCTCCTTAGCAAGTAGGAGGCCCTGAGTTCAAACTCTGGTACCACAAAAAAAAAAATGAGGGAGAGAGAGAGAGAGAGAGAGAGAGAGAGAGAGAGAGAGAGAGAGAGAGAAGTTGGGTGTGGTAGTATATGTCTATAACCCCAGCACTCAGGAAGCTAAGGTAGGAAGATCACAAATTCAAGGCCAGCCTGGGCTACATAGCGGCACCTTGTGTCAAAAAAAGGGGTGGGGAGACAAGTAGCTCCTAAACATAAAATAATCAACCTCACTTCTGAGAGAAACAGAAATTAAGTTAAAATTACTATGAGATACTATTTCCTGTCAGATTAGCAAAGACAAAAATGTTTGATTAAGGACTGTGCTGGTCAGGGAGTAGAGAAACAGGAACTTTTAGAGTGACCAAATATAGACTTACATGACCTTTAGAGAGGGCAATTCAGCAGACACTCTCAAAATTTTATTTATTTATTTTAAGTATCTAATTGTTTTGTTATTATTGTTGTGCTGGGTGGGATACATTGTAGCATTTACAAAGTTCTTACAATGTATCCAATACATCATACTTGAATT